CATGAATGATGAACAGGATCGGAAGCTTGGTGCCATCAGCCTTGACGGTATGAATCGCAGTCATTCGAAGGGAATGCTTTTCTCCCGTAGCGATATTTGGCTCACCACCTTTGACTGACCAGATATACTTCGGCGGCATATCGTAGTAGAACCCCGTTTCATCCACGATGTACACGGCATCAGGACCAAACCCATGGTACGCTCGATGGTACATCTCGGTAAACTCATCACGTGTGTCCATCGTCTTGTGCTTGCGTGTGGATGAACGTTGGCGTGTAAATCCATTGCGTATCATGAACCTCTGCAAGAGGCGTAGCAGTGCATCGTATCCAGCTCCAGGCTTCTTTTGGGAGAGGTAGGCACGAAGCCACCCGGGCCCATGTCGCTTGATCCAATTGATGGCGTGGGTCATAGTCAACGCCTGCTCTTGAGCACGCATCTAGTTAACGAAATCAACAAGACTCTCGGGGTCTGGAAAACTTTGCCGTCGTCCACCTGATTCGATCTTCTTTTTCTTCTTGTTTCCGTCGTACGCGAGGATTTCTTCTCGATTCTTAGCCCAGGAGCAAATAGTCTCGCGTGGAATACCAGTAACTTTAGCCGCATTGGTGGGATTCATGGTGTCTAAGATGCCCAGCATGTTGATTCTGGTTGACATCGCGTACGATCGCTTCGGAGCACGTTGCGTGGATAGCATTTTTGATTTCCAAATGGCTTTGAGTTGCAATTTTTTTGAATTTTATTACGCGAGCGTGAAAGTATTTGTTTCCGCCAATTAGCGTTCGTTATTATTATATTTCATTTGTATTGGTCATTATTAGAGTTGTACTTTTTTTAACTTCGTTTGGTGAACCATTCCGTCGTTCCCTGTATTATGTATCCCCCCTTATGTGTCGTACAACTCAAACTGTGCTCACTCATATCATTCTTGGCTCATAGTTCATAGTGACAAGCATTTATCGTCTGAATTCCAACATCCCACACATCATAAAACACAAATACCAACAACTGGTATTGCGCGAGATATTGGGTAGTGTAGTTCAGTTCTCTTAGGATTAGGCAATACGAGTGGATGGATTATGCACTTGACAGTGTTATTTGTATTTATGTTTATGGGCTGTGGAGGTGCAGGGGCTGCAGTCGCTGCTATTCTGGCGATCTTCATTTACTATGAGCTAGTCATGATGTCGTGAATGGTGGTTCTCACCTCGTAAGTGGTTATTGTGGTAGATAAGCCGCAAGCAGAATCGTTGTGCAGGGGACAGAAGGTCATGGGGGGTTATAAACGATGGTAAGGGATGCAATCGATACGCGATTTACATGCACTATGAGCAAGTTGCGCATAGTGGCTGAAACTTGTACTTTCAGGTGTGGATTCACCGCCAATCTAAACTTAACCCAAATACCTAGCACACTAGTTACATGCATAACTACCGGTAGTCCTTGATCCCGTCAACTGGTTATTTACGCCAAATCACATTGCACACACGTAAGCACGCAAGGGAGTATCATAAACCATACGTCGCATTGTCATCTCAATGCGACTGCTTACATGGTTGAGGACTCTGGCTGGTAGAACTCTTCGTTCGGTATCCAGGCTGTCTTCTCCGTGGACAGCCTCGATCTGCTGTATCAGTTCCTCGCAGCCTACGTGAGTCGCCTCGTCCTCGGCGCCGCCCTCACCGCCGTCGAGCAACAACGACGGGCAAATTCACCAGTATATGGTGCAAGTCATCTAAAGACTACAAAAAATGCCTTGTCCTTCGACATCTATTCCAATTTTGTATTGATATTTTTAGCAATATAAGCCGTAATAACTATACAGTACTGGAAAAGCCCAACAGAAGTTACGGTTCAGATTTTCGACTGGTGAAAAATTGATCGAGTAATAGAACTTAAACCGACCGGTCTTTTTGTACGGAAATATAACCGAAAAGGAGCATCAAGTATATCTTGGTCTTTGTATTCAGCACTTATCCGTACAAACGTTTGCATCCGGATTATTCAGGACGTTTAACCTAATTACCAGGTAAAAAATGTACTCCGGAGTAACCTATTATTATGATTTAACGCGTGGGTTTAACTTAAATAACTGAGGCGTTTAATAGTAAAACGTCTCTTCATGATGATCTGTAGTCTTTAGATGACTTGCATGCACCATATCATCTCCACTCGTTTTTACTATGCTAGTTGTCAGTTAAGGTACCTCCAAAATGGCCGCTGCGCAAACTTCTCGGCAATTTTTGATTTTGCAGGTATAATTGGGTTTGATTGGATACGTGCATTTATTTGTAGCCAATCACAGTCTTAATGATAACTAACGTTACTATTAATTTGCGGACAAGTGCCAACTGAAAATGGATTTGGACCTCCTTTCTGCACCATAGGATATGACTACAAGTACAAGACATCACATATAAACAGCTCCAAATAAGACCCAGGCAGGATCAATTGAAAGGACGCACACACCTATGGGAGCTTGTAGAGTAGGCTGACTGTCATAAAAGTGCTGCTGCGGAGAGCTGGTGGCGTGAAGTACACAGCGCACGTTTACTTCGGGTCACCAGGCTCCCGCTGCAATGTCTTGTGGCGCTATCTCCTACACACGCGCTTGCTCCAGGACCACAGGCTGTGTGGCTGGGATCCTCAGCCATTCATCGTGTTATTTATGGGTATTTTGAGGATTCCTCAAACGTGGCGATGCGCGACAATTCTCCGGATATTGTTCAAGATGTACACTAGTGTACCGGTCGGTGTGCTCTTGAAAAGTCACAGCGTTGAGCGAAGTAAAAACCGAAGATTACACACCGCCCCTATCGAGCAGGCGCGTTAGAATTGGCGAAGCGGTTCCACAACATGTGGTTCTAGTATCGGCCCTCGCGGAAGAATGTCTTAGAGTATCTCCACCGCATTCCAGTAAATCGACACACCAATATCCGCATACTACTCGGATAAAACCTCCAGTATTGTAATGGACTGATAATTCAGGATAAATCGCCCGCAAATAGCCCAACTCCAGCCAGTAAATTCGACCAGGCAGCTATCTCCTGAGTGGAAACCCGCGTTAATTTCGACGAATGGTTATCACCAGGAATTGCACGCAATGATGCGCAACATGCATGCATATGTGCAAAGTTATCCTTATCAACTGTAGTTTCTCGTGAACTAGTAAACGTAAATAGGCATCGGCCAGCTCGTCAGGACCCGCGCTATTAACCTTGGTAATACAGCAGTCAATGACGCGGGTCCTGTCGAGTTGTAGTTATGGCATGGATGATTCTGCAACATGAACATAACGGCTACCGGCCGCGAAGACATACCCACGGACTGCCGCACGACTCTTGCCAACGCGGCAAGCCATGCGACTTCGACCGACACAAGCCAGATATCGCCAATCATGGTAGGATCGGCCTCGGACCGGCGCAAACAAGCAACCGGCCGCATTCGCGTGGGGTCGATGCTGCCTCCTAAACTTGCCACGTCAGCATCGACCGCAGGCGAATGCGCTCGGCCGCAACTGACCTACGCCGCAAGAGTCATCACAACAAGTTATAACTTATTGACTGCGGCATACACACCGTGCAAGGGCCGCCACAACTGCACCTCGACGTATGCCATCACCGACCCTGGATGCTTCTCCATGTTTATGCACCGATGTCTATAAATGGATACTGACTCCAGAAAATCCAGTAGAAGTCAGTGCTTTGCTGACAGCAAATATTCCAGTAAAAGTCACACAGATTTGATGGGACCGGAAAATGGTGCGGTGCGAAAATATTTCAGTAAGTTTTCAGTAAATCAGCACACAGATTTACTGATTGGCCAATTTACTGGGCGCGGTGGAGAATGCTCTTAAAACAAATGATAATCCAAACTAAATTAACCATAAAAGTGGATACAATTTTCTCAGTACGTTTCTCGGGAAGCAAACGCCAGAATTCTGTGAAATTATAGCCAAATGTAGCCAATAGAATAAGTCGACAGGTATTTTTAGGTATTTTTTTTAATTCTTGTCACATCACAACCAAGACGAGCCAATCTAATTTTACCCGTAACTCGGTCAGTTTTGATCCAATTGAGCTCAAATCAAGCGCATTCGCCTCATCATGACGCGTAGATTATGATAGAAGTATTGGCAACTGTGTTAGGCAAGACAAAAAGATCAGCCACGAGAACTGCTGTAGTGTTTTCACGGGGGGGAAGGGGGTACTTGGACTGATGGGACGACTACGTTTATGCTGCTTGAGGACCCTTCAGAAAATACATGATGGTGATAAGCAGTACAACTCAAGATTGGTATCACCCATCATCACGGAAATTGCCTCGAGGTTCTCTACCTCCATGTCTTCACCCTAAACGTGAAATAGGGGTGTCTCACGGTTCTGGCCTTTAAAGGAATGATCACAACTACTATGAGATTAAAATCCATGAATACATTGTATCATTTCAATCGCTTTGGGGTCTCAACCCTTCAGCTCTCCAAGTGGTTATAACCTTTCGCATCGGTGGTAAAACTTAATTATTTTAATTTCTCACTGACATTTTCTAATATTTTTGGCATGCTTCAAAGCTAGAAATGTGTATTTTATAAATAGAAATCTTTGCTCAGCATAATTTAATTCGCAGCCAACAAAAAAACAATCAAGAAAAACCTAGTGGTTATATACTACGTAGTAACCTTTTGCATCGCACTGTATAGATTATAGCTCAAGGTGACAATAATTGTTTGTCATCTTTACGCTATATATGAAGTTAACGCCAAAGTGTTGTCTATTATGTGCTGTTTCGTGGCTCAGAGATCATCGATCAACGCAAGAACCTGGTAGCATGTACAGCAGCATTGATACTACGTAATGAAGTGGCATGGACGGTGTTACGATGCTTATTGCAGGATATAATCACACCCAAAGTAAGCTATGTTTCAGTTTTTTGGCACTATTGAGGGCCCTTCACGCTTGCTAAATAAGTGTAATCGCCGCACACTTTGTTGTGTAGCCCGCAACCATATCTTCAGTTTTCATATTAAATGTAAAAAAGTACATGACTTTGTCGATGAATTGCTCAACAACGGTATTCTCAGACATGCCATTGTTGAGCAATTCATCGACAAAGTCATGTACGTTTTGAATAGTTAATATTGTCATAAATTATGACAAACATTGATGTTAACTTATGTTATTGGTAATTCGATTTCAAAATGGACTGGGGCTGCCAATCGATTCGACGAAGCAAAATTGACGCAGTGATCGACGGACCGAAGTAGTCAAGAAATTTTTGAAAAAAGACCTTTCGAGTAATCAAATTGCAGGTGGGTGTATTCGTTGCATTGCAAAGCTTCGCCATTTCACAAAGAGTTCACATTGCATCGGACAGATAGTGGGTATATTTGTTTTAGGTAAAATGACGTCTCGACGATTTCAGTTGGATTTGACGTCCTTCGTCGAACCTACCAAAGATACCAAATTTAGCTTGAAAGCAAAATAACTTGATGCTATATTTCGATGTTATCGTTTTAGATTATGACATAGGTGTTTTATATTAAAAATAGGTAAGGGTATTCTCAAGGAATGTAGGAGGGTGAGTGAAGTGGGCATATTAGAACGAACTCGATGGATCTGATGCCTATAAAATCCCAATGTTACACGATCGGATTCGTTTTACTTCACCTGGTTGACTGAAACCTTCGTCGTCGCATTTGCGCTGGTGATTTGGTCGTCAACCTTGCTCCATGGAAGCGCACTTTTCTTCGAAAAGAGAAACCGTTTCATTATTTTTATCATGGCTTGAATAGAATTTTTAAAAACAAGACATCAAAACGATGTTACAGTATGTGATTTTATATTTGGAAGAAAATATGGTTAACAAAGTTGGTTAACTTGCATGTTATATTTGAGACAGCCACTTTCAAAGCCACACAACATGAGCCAATGTAAATCGACCAACCCGAGACAATTTTTACGTGTTCACAAGCATTATCTCTACATAATGACGTATTATAGAGGTTGCTACGAGTTATTTACTTATATTTGCGTTTTTTGCTACTGACACATCACTCATGCTACAATGTTGCAATCGCCATATTTTGAGCTTTGAACGATAGCCGGCAACTAACTGTAAGTTTGCAATATCTACATTCATTAAACCGCTTGTAGACAAGGTGTCAATGAGATATTCGATGTCAAAGTAATGTACTTTCTTAGGAGTAGTTTACAATGTTTTATTATTACGTATTATATTAGGAGAATAAGTATGATCAATTTCAACTTTATTAGGGCGGGTCTGGATGCCACGAAAAATGGCGTAAAATGGCCGTTTTTCGAAGAAAAGTTGGCAAAATCGAAACATTCCATTTTTCGAAATTTTGTGCGTCTGGATACCACCAAAGATCAAAACTTTATGCCACAATTTTCTTGAGAAACGGGTGATTTATGGCATAAAAAAATGGACCGATTTGGTTCAACTTTCTTATGGGGTTTTATTCACGTTGAAGTGTTGCACTTCATTCGGAAATCAAATAATTTTTCCATAATTTAACTGGCATCCAGACAACCTTGTAGATACTTGTTTTCTCCATTCTTTCATGAAATATGAGAATTTGGGAAATTTTTGCAGACTTGCCAAAACGGTTTATGGCATAATTTTATGGGGTGGCATTACAGCCCTTAGCCTTTTTATACGAGCAAAAGACGGAGGAAAGGATGCTTGGTTTACATGAAGCATCATAACATACATTAAGCAGATTACACCAAAGACTCTGACGCATTGCTTAAGGGTCACTCACGACCAATAGAGGGACGCAAAAGCAGCGGCAAGGCTGCTCAACATAACTGCGTGGCGTTCGCTAGAGGACGAATTGGCTGCAGCGGCTGGTTGGTGGCTTCGTTGGACGACGCATTCGTCGCCGAAGGCGCCGTGGTGGTGGCATTTCCAATGGTCAGTTTGACAAATCTGATGAACTGTACATCAAGACGAACAATATCCATGAGGAGTATACAAACTCTGAGTACTGGTAAGAGCTCTACCGCATGTCCTACCCTCGCCGCTACTACGACATGATGGCGACGTTTGGCCGGTCACGAGAGTCTATTTGTCGTATCTTTAACGACGTAATAGACTTCTTGTTTGACAAGTGGAAAAAACTGCTTTACTTTTGCGACTCAATCGTCGTTCCAAGACTCGTGATGTACTCCGCTGCCGTCAAGACCAAGGGATCATACATGGACAACATCTTTCGGTTCATTTATGGCAGCAAGTTTGAAACATGCCGCATCACTCAGAAGCGCGACCTTGTTGCATCAAATTTTGCCGACCTGCAGCGGTTGATCTACAGTGGCCACAAGCGCAGACACTGCCTGAATTTTCAGGCAGTGACTGCTCCAGACGGACTGTGTGTGCACTTTTGGGGGGCGGTCGAGGGGTCACGACATGACACCACGCTCTTGCGGCTGAGCAAACTCTAGGCGTATTTGGACGCTAAGCGCGATTTATTTCGCGACTTTTTGGTTTATGGTGACCCGGCGTATGGCGTGTTGGAGTGGATTTGCTCCGGCTACAAAGGCAGTGATCTGGACGACAGAAGGAACGAGTTTAACTCGTCCATGAGCAAAGTCCGCCAGTCAGTTGAGTGGTCCTTCGGGATTATGAAGAAAAATTGGGCGATGGTGGGATACAAGATGCAACAAAAAATTATGTTGCAAAGTGTGGGCAAGGTTATTATGGTAGCAATGTTGTTTACTAATTGCCACTGTTGTTTTCACGGTGGAAATCAAATTAGTAGCTACTTCAACCTTACACCGCCATCTCTAGAGGAGTATTTACAGCTACCAAATGATGGCAACTAATAAATCGAATGTGTGAAAGTGTATTTTCAATTTAGCGGTGAAGCAAGTGACGGATGAGGTCCATCATGTCATCATTTCTCTTTCTTTCGTCCTCGCGTTTCTGGATTCTTTCCATCCTGTCCTTTTCTCTTTCCTGTAGCTCCATCTCAAATTTATACTTCTTAAACTCGAGTCGCTCGTGTTCCAACGCAATTTTGCGCTCTTGAGTTTCGAAAATAGCTTTCGTTTGCGACTTGCCACGTCGCTGTCGGTGGAATCGTCGCCTTCATTGGACTTACTGGGACCCCGCATCATTGCTTGCTCCCGCACATATCCCGCGGTGGCCTCCTTTTCGGTGGCCTTGGCGGCCATCGTTGCTCGTTCGGCTTGCCGTTCCTCGCTGGCCTCGTCGAAGTGTTGAATCAACTCGTCCAGAAGCATGATCTTCCCTGTTTCGTCTTGTTCCACGCCGGAGAGGTACTTTGAGCTCTCTTGGAACTTCCTGTGGACCCACAGCAATTGGTAGAAGCGGCTGGAGGCCTTCTTGCCGTCCAGCCCAATCCTGCCAAACCCATGAACTTGGCGGAGCTTGTTCGCCACCGCATCCCACGCCTTCGTTGTGTTCTTCGCTTGCTTGAAGGGCAGGTAAATGTTGACTTGAGTCAACAGACTCATGTCGTCGGCGTCGCTCCACCACTTGCGAGCCTGCTGGCCCTCGCGAGTCGGTCGCAACCTCGTCATTCATGCCAGCGTCGTGCAAGACCAGTTGTGTTATTCGGATACAGCGGATAGCCACCTCGCCACAAATTCGGTGAGATTTGCAGCCGATACAAGTTTTTGCAGGTCGTCTATATTTATTCAGTCATAGAGGATAGGATGTGGATAGAATAGAATAGAATAGAACTGGCGTTTGCGAAATCTGTCTAATGTGGGAGGTTTGAACTCTCTTCGATGCTCTTGTCGTTGACTTCCCCAGCTTTGAGCATTACACATTGGCACAAAATATCATGGGTTGTATATTGTGCTTTCAAGTGAAATTTCGTGTTGTGGCGTGGTTTCTCGTTGGAATTTAAATCGATTTGATTGGCTACCTCAGATGACCTCAAAATTATTAGCCAATCAAAATATCCTCAATGAAATTCAACCAATCAGATCGATTGTGGATCGGTTTGGTCGACGCGATTCGATTGCACCCCCTCCCCAAATTTGTATCAAATCGACAATATATGAAATATTTCTAGTAGACTTAGGTGGATCAGCAAATATTGTTGGCAACCCAAATTTTGAAAATGCCGTCATGAAACTTCAACGTGGTCGCACGCTCACTCGGCCTGAGAAGTTGGCCGTTTCTGCACTGCGAAGCAACTACGGCACAGATGATGTTTCGGACGAAGATGCTGGATTTGCCGAAAGAGCGTTGAAACGTGCGCGCCTGGCCGACGAGAATGACACCTATGTCCTCCTTGGTGCTGTCTCCCCAACGTCAAACATACCCGAGCGTGTTTTCAGCATGTCGAGTGCTTTGATTGGCCTCGACCGTTTTTCACTCCATCCCATCATGATTGAGGCGACGCTCTTCCTAAAGTGCAACCGCAGCTACCGGGACGTATCGACTGTCCACGAAACGCTTGAGTAAAAATGTGTGCATTAATGTGCATATATTGCATAATATGCATAATGAATTTCAGTCTTTTGCAACAATTATGCATTATGTATGCACTGAGTAGCTAAACAATACATATAATATGCGTATTTTCGACCCCTGTGTAGCATGAACGACATCATCAACTGACCGACACAACGTCTTGTACTGAATCCCTTGGATAGCAGCTAAAAAGCCAAGATCGAGAACGTTTAGGTCCTGGCTGTTTGATGGCTGGCGGCGCACACGAAAACTTCCACCAGTCCGTCGAGGCACATGCAAGCACCTCGTCCGTGATTGCGCCGTGGGGTGTCGCATTGTCTTGCTGTAGGATGACTTGCTTATGGCGGATTAGAAACTTTGCCTTGATAGCAAGTATGATCTTGGTGATAACGTAGTAACGGTACATATTGGCATCGACGTTGACAAGCGTAGTTACAATAGTACAAGCTGGGCGATTGTGCGACGATCGAGCGGCGGGTAGGTACTTTACAATAGGCCACATACCAATCTTCCCATTGAAAGCATCTCCACGCACACTATCATACCTAGTCCGTCCCCCAGCAGCGAGGAACATCTCTTTCGGGATGAACCGCTTAATCTTGCACGCGCGGCGACCGAGTGACTCGCCCTTCGTAAGGTAGACTTTTGGGCAGTCCTTGTACGCGTTGAACTTCTCGTCGAGATGCACGACATCCCACATGTCATCGAATTCGTAAGCGCCACATTGTCGTCGGTAAGCAGGGGCTTCAGACGCGACGAGCGACGTTCGAGCGTGCTGTTCCGGAGGTTGCGGGTGATGGCCCCTGTAGCGATGTGACAGGTGGGAGTAACGCCTTGCCACCACCTTGCCCGCACCCAGCTCCTAAGTACCTGGCTCATGACGCACTCTAGCTAATGCTTGCCTGGTGATGTGTCTCAAGGACATGTATGGCTTAGAAGCGCTAGTCTAGTGAAGTCCCCCAATGTCTCAACCGCACCCGCATCCATTGTATACGAAAGTGCATATTAGCGTAGAAGTAGTGAATTAGACGAAGAAGATTCATAGGGATGAGGACTAAGGAGATCTTCAGTTAATTCATTGTGCATTTTTCCCTCAACTACATACGCTTCATCCCGCAGTGCTACAATTGGTAGCACTTCGTGGTTCTCTCGCCCCAAGCCCCGTCAAACCGCTGTACGTAGCCAGTCTTCTTAGACGGTTGTTATGGTCGTTTGCAGAGACAGCACATCGCCAAAGGTTTTAAAAACGTGGTCTTTGCTACCCGTTACCTGGTGATAGTCTCAGCAACAAAATCCATACACGCTATGAGTGATCTGCTAGTGTATGCCCCGTAGTAAGACCCGCAAGCCCCAAATCGCGGTCACCAAAGACATCGGCGAACTATTTGATTATCCGGATCTGCCGGTTAAGCTACGCCAAGACCTTTACGTGTTAACCCGTCACCACCGCGTGGTTATCAACAAGTTGCGTGCCCAGATCCCAGAAGCAAAGAACTCCGACGCCCGCAACGCCATCGAAGAGATCACAGACTTATTGATCCACCGGAACGACCAAATCGAAGAACTGATTGAAGGAGTCCTCGACCGTAAGATTCAAGTGTACCACAAGGCCCGCATAATCAAGGCTGAAGCGAGAGTAGATCGAAGTTCGAAATAGAGTAATTCAATTTCACCAGAATTACAAGATGGATGAAGTTTTGCGCACAATGGCAGAGTCCTTTCAGCGACATGAACAGCTGTTAGAAATGCTTACCCATACCCAAGCCGCTTAAGTGGAAGAGCGAGCGAATGGCCAGTCAACACATCAAACGAGCGACACGACAAACAGAACTTAGAGTTGAAGGATTAAAGATGCCGAAGTATTATGGATGAATGAACGAAAGTATTAGCCTATACATCCACCAAGTTACGACATTTTCAACGCAAAGAACGTTGATTACCAATAAAACGATGGGACCCAACAGCGATGCATTGCCATGATGGTGGCAAATATCCATGGCCTTGCCGCAGCCTGGTACCAAGAACGGCTTTCGCTCGGTGAGTCTCCAAGCACCATCATTGAACTAGAAGAAGAGCTGTGAGCCGAGTTTGAGCCCGACGATTAACAAGATCGGCTGCGTGATCAGCTATACGAATTGAAGCAAGCCCAGTGTGCGAGCTTGACCGAGTATGTTGCCAAGTTCGGATGAATCTGTACGCAAGTGTGCGGCATGACCGAGCGCGATAAGGTGTCCTGGTTCCAACGCGGTCTTCAAACCAGAACCCGTGAGGAGTTGCAGTACTGTCTGTATCATCGTTGCGAGAATGTGACTGCCGCGATCCAAGTTGCCCAGGACTATGAGCGCTCCCACAACTCGACCCTTAACGGTGGTCACGCAAAGACTGCGACCGCTTTTATCGCCACGATCGCCGCCATTAGTTCAACAACCGACATCAAGGAAGCCGCCCACCGTATGCGTATCCTCCACACCAGCGCCAAGATGACAACATGGAAGTAGACAACGCCAAAGTATAATACCATGGGCAACGCCAAGTAGGTCCCAGTTACAACTGCGGACGAATAGGCCACAGAATCAGTGACTGTCGCTCTCCACCCCGGAACAATCAAGGAAGAAGCCAAGCCCAACCTCAGCGCAACAACATCTCAAGACATGCCAACCGGTCTCAGCGACCCAGCGCAATACACCAAGTCGTTAGCACAATGCCAATTAACCGAAGTCAACAGCGACACAGACGACAGCGAAGATGACGTGGAAGAAGTGATCCTAGGCAACAACATGGACCTAGCCCAGCAAGACTCCGGGGAGGAGGAGTCACTTAACATCAATACCGCCCAGCAAGAAGTGCCAGCGCGAGAAAACAGGTTGATGAGAGTTCACGGCGCACTCGACAGCACAAGCGTTCGCATCCTGATCGACTCTGGTGCCTAGAACTTGCTTTGCCGCCCAGGTTTGGCCAAGACAGTGATCCGTTCCAAGGAAGTTCAAGCAGAAGGCTTCGATGGACACTGTTCTGGCATCAAGAATGTGAAGGAAGTATCTGGCACACTTTGCTTTGGTCAATGGACGTTCCCAGATCTTATACTTACCGAGTGGGATCTCGGGAAGAAGGACTTTGACGTCATATTGGGGAAACCCTGGTTCTTTCGTTACAACCCTGTCATGGACTGGCGTACCCACCAAATCCTCAACGTCAACTCAAGTGAAGTCGAGCCTGAACGATTCGAAGGATGGATGATCAAAGTCACGACGAAAACGGCACCGCAGCAGAAGTTACACCCGCTCGTGGCCAGGGTCGTGGATGAATTTCGTGACGTGTTACCCGACAAGTTACCCAACGCGTTACCACCGCTGCGTGGGATTGAGTTTGATTTGACAATGAAGCCTGACGCGGGACCTCAGCACCAAACCCGTTCCGATTGTCCAAGGTGGAAGCAGGTTCTTTGGACACGTCGTCGACGATCTGTTGCATAAGTGCTGGATCGAGCTCTCGAACAGCGATTGGGTATCCAACATCTTCGGTGTTTCCAAGCGTAGTGATGATGGTCAGATGCTGCCACGCCTGACACCCCTATACGATGGGTGTTGGATTACCGCCATGTCAACTCTCAGTCCATCGAGCCAAAGATCCCGCTGCCCAACATTGAAGACCTGTTTGACCGCATGCACGGATGCCGAGTCTTTACGAAGATCGACTTAGCGTCTGGCTACCACCAAATGCTCGTGATGCCATCAGCGCGGAAGTACACTGCCTTCAGGACCCATCGCGATGTTTATGAATGGGTAGTGGCCCCAATCGGTATGGCAGGCATGCCAGGCATCTGGTCTCGCCTTATGCGTCGATTGTTTGACAATTTTGATTTTGTCGTGGTGTACATGGACGAGATTTGTGTGTTCTCGCGGACGATCGAAGATCACGCTGATCATTTGCGTTCAATTTGCACTGTCCTTCGAACCGAGAAGCTATATGCACCGAGAAGCTATACGCGCGTCCATCCAAGTGATCGTTTGGTGTCGACTCTGTCAACGTTTTGGGTCACACCATTTCGAAAGTTTGCCTCCACGTGGACCAGTCCAAAGTCCGTGCTATCGAAATGTTGCCGGAGCCTCAGTCGAGCAATGATGACATGAGCTTTGTCGGTCTTGCCAGTTACTACCGCAAGTTCATCCCCGACTTCGCGGAACTCGTCCGCCCCCTTAGTGGATTGCTGAAGAAAGGAGCCAAGTGGCACTGGACGAGGACGAGCGTCGAGCGTTTTTGACAATCAAGTTCGCGTTGCAGCAAGCCCCTGTTACAAGACTTTTGTGGTTACCACCGACGCCTCTGGTTTATGCTGTGGTGCAGTCATTTCCCAGCTCGACGGCGACGGCAATGATCGGCCCGTTGCTTTCATGTCCAAGCGCCTCGTTCCTCACGAACAGAATTGGCCCGTGCACGAAAAAGAACTGTACGCCATTAAGTTGGTTCTAGGCATGTGGCGCCATTACCTGCATGGCAATCGGTTCGATGTATACACCGACAACTCCTGCTGCAAGTGGTTCATAACAACGCCGGTCCTTACGCCCAAGTTGACGTGTTGGCTTTACTTTTTCAGTTGTTTCGACTTTGCTCTTCATCATCGTCCAGGCAAGTTAAATGTGGTAGCTGATGCCTTGTCTCGGCCTCCCAGGCCACCTCCTCCGTTCACCAACTCTCAATCCACGCGTGTGGTATCCACTGTGCCTCAGTCGCGGCGCGCATCAATCGACTTCTTGTCCATGTATCAGCTCTCTCCACCTACACAACTCGTGATATCGCCGTCATTGTCGACTCTCCTTTGGGGGGGGAGGAGTTGGAGGAGCAAAAAGGAGTGCAAGTGCTTCAACGCCTAACGATGAACCACTCGAAGCAAGTGTCCTTTAGCACCGTCGAGATGAACACCAAAAACTAGAGCCAGTTCAATCGCAAGTTGGAGTACTTGGTCAAGTGGCATGGACAGCCCGAAAGCGAAGCCACGTGGGAACTGATGGAGGACATCAAACATGTTGTGCACTTCAAGCAACTCGTCCAAGACTTGGAGTCAAGGCGTTTCAATGTGTAGCAAGATGTCAGGGGAGAATGTAGCGATATGACAGGTGGGGGTAACGCCTTGCCACCACCTTGCCCGCACCCAGCTCCTAAGTACCTGGCTCATGACGCACTCTAGCTAATACTTGCCTGGTGATGTGTCTCAAGGACATGTATGGCTTAGAAGCGCTAGTCTAGTGAAGTCCCCCAATGTCTCAACCGCACCCGCATCCATTGTATACGAAAGTGCATATTAGCGTAGAAGTAGTGAATTAGACGAAGAAGATTCATAGGAATGAGGACTAAGGAGATCTTCAGTTAATTCATTGTGCATTTTTCCCTCAACTACATACCCTTCATCCCGCAGTGCTACAGCCCCGAGCGACAGGCCAGTGGCGGCAGCAATGTCGCGAATTGTGGATCGTTGGTGATGTGTCATCTCGCTGAGCATAGCAGTGATTTCGTCGGGCGTGTACTTTGATTTGTGCCCCACTCAGCCAGTCTTATGCGATGGCATGGCGCTGTCACACTGGAAGGCTTTCCAGGTCCTGGACACGGTCTGCGCAAGTCCTTGATTGTCTGTTTACAACGGCGATGTGTACATCAACGTTATTCGTTGGCGCGGTGGCACCCTCTCGAAAGACGGCATGAATAAAATTAGCATTGCTTCCGAAAGCTGCCAGATTCTACATCGCGAGCACAGCATTGTGCGCAATATCGATAGTATCAAAGCCAAGATACAAGAGTTGATCTATTCCTACGGTAGAGCGAAGGATTTCATGAGCCACACCAGCGAAGGCCTGTTGTCCGCTGCAGATGAACGCTATCACGACCCGACTGCTCCAGGCTACTTGGTCGAAATTGATACAATTCGGATATGGTATGTATATTGGAATATATTTAGTTAGATTAATATCATCATCGTAAGGACAAGTGCTCTAATTTCTGCAAGCACTGGGATGTGCTCGAAAAGATCATCGGCGATAGAACATCGGCCCGCCTCTCCTCCGTTCAAGTAATGAAGACGATGACGACTATTTAGTCGACATGCTCAACACATCCACATTGTCTGGTATATATTACTTCATACACTACTAACAGTTAATACTAGATGTGGAGAGACAATGAAAATCGAATTGCCATTTAAGAATCCACAACTACTCTCATTAATCCACAACTTCTGGCAATAATATCCAACTTGTTCCAACAACATACTACGATACTATCTTCAACTATGTACTGGTAGTACTACTGTAGTAAGTTTCAATAAAATTCTCAAGTGGTGAGATATTTGTCACGGACATAACCAAACCATCCTAACGTATCCACCAATCAAACCACTGTATAGAAAAGATCGACCAATGAACTTGTAGTGTATCCAAAACAAATCATACGGGTACTTCGTACTTCAACGTACTATGTAGAAGCAGTGATAGAGGGACAAGTGTTTTCGTAGGGTATGAGAGTAAAGCCACGACCGATTGATGGCACGAAGCGTTTAGCACTGCTGTGGGGGAGCAGGGCGATAGTAGAGGGTTTCATCCTCGATGCCCATTCATTTGTGGTGGGGCAGGACGATGAATCAGTTAAATTGGCCTCGAAATGGCATAGGTAGAGTAGTATATGTGATCGGGGGTTGGTGGCACGAAGCGTTTAGCACTGCTGTGGGGAAGACAATAACAGTGCTGGATAGAAGACTGTTTCACTTAATACTAATGACTGTATCATGTATAAGGATATCGCTGAAGTGGATGGCCGGCTCGTGGGGGTCTGCCTCGATTGGTTGCGTTCGAGCGCCGCGTAATAGTTTCCTTTGAATGGTACGCTCGTTTCTTGGTCTCTCGTCGGGATTGGAATTTTCTTCTGTTGTCGTTGAAGCCAGGCATTCCGGAGCTTGTTAGATCCAGGGCATACAAGTGATGCACGCAACACGCATGTTTAAAGTAGTAGAGGCATCCACAAGATAGTGCCTCAACGTCAACCTCCCAACCTTGATCTGGCTGACCTTCACGCTCGTTGCGGCAGTTGTTCGCATTTGAGTTGAAATAGTAGGCTGCAATTGCATCCGTTGCACTAGTCATATCTGGTTCATTTTCGTCAGTGGCAAAATGAGGAAAAGTGGCTTCGTAGAAGTTTGTGTAGCGACGTCACTCCAGTGGCGTCATAGGGTTATCGACCAATGAGAACAGACGTCACTGTTGACGTCAGTTTACGACCAAGCTCGATTGGCGTGCGGCGTGCTCGGCCATGGACACCAGAAGTTCCTTCTGCAGAGCGCACGTATGTATAGCATTAGATATAGTATAGTCAGAGAATCATGCATGTAGATAACGCCAATCAATCAGTTGACAATTTCCTCTGCGTTATCAACTCCCTACAGTTTGGCGGTTCGCTCTGAATATACACCACCAACGTCGTTGACTGGAGTAAGCGCACCATACTTCCACTGGGGGGCGCGATGTGATCGGCCTTGAGGATGTATCTGTGTGCCTTCAAAATGCGCATGCGTGCGACAAGGTTTTTGGGGGCAAACGCTTCCGTGGATACCTCTGGAAGAACCTTTGACAATGCCACCAGGTTGGATCCCAACTTCTCCACAAGTTCACTGATTTGTAGCCGTACGCCTTTCGTAACATCACGCTTTAGGACTTTGTCTGTCACTTCCACGGGGTTGTTCGTAGTGGCAAAGCCAGAAGGGGAATGATATACTTCCATCGCGAGGTGGACATGTCCAACCATTGGCCAAAGAAGTAAACTTCAAACTCCTGTAGTCCCATTTCATTCCACTCGTTCCTGGCGGTTTCCATCGTTCCAAGCAGTTCTGTCGATGACTTCGCGTAGTGCATGTCATAAATGTGTTTCCACACAACGAGCTTGTGCCTTCCAGTGATACGAAACGTGACAATGCGCTCACCGACATTCTTAGTGACGTGGAACCAACACATCAAAACGGTCACGGTGCCACCCATAACCGAGATAACGGCGTTGCTTTGAGCAAAATCAGCGTCCCCCATTACGTAGCTCAATCGCAAGTTTCGGTTGTAGCATGCTGCGTATGCTTCGGACAGTGCCTGTAATGCATCAACAGACTGGGCCGTCTTCTTTGGGACATCAGGAACAACGCAACAATAATCGTTTTTCTGCTCTTGTCTGATAAGAGGCATACCTGAAGTGGGTACTCCAGGTTTGTCATCTTGTGAGTGCAATCCAAGTGCAGCATTGTCGCGGATGGCTCTTGATTTAGGTGACCCAACATCGACAGTGTTGTTAACCCCAGCAGGAACAGGTTCGGATTCCCACGGACGCCGTTTGATAGGATTGGGCGCTCCTTTTCGTCATGGTTGTATCCAAAACAAAACCACTCAGTTGATTGGATGGTACCCCGAAGGGTGCGATTCATCAGCAACGACTCCATTGTGTGAATGTAGGAGTTCAAATGCAGCTGGGTACTTCTCACGTACGCATTGCGAGATTGTACGGCAGCTAGCCCTGGAACTTCGCTTGCGTCGAATCGCAGCAAAACTTCGTTGTAAATGTAGCCTGGCTTACCACCCAGCTTGGTCAGATTGTCGACAAACTGCTTCACGGGTTGCGACAATGACTTAAATAGAAGGTGGGCACATGAGTCGCTGTGGCTACAGTTCTTGAACACTTGTTCTGGACATGATTCGCACTCGAGGATTTTGAGCTTCGATGGACACGACAGATTCAGTCCAAGAGTTGATGTTGATGCATAATTCCATCCACACACCTTCACACGTCAAGATTTGCATAGAGAGCACGTGGCCCCTGGCGCATTCGTTCGGACCCAATATACCATGCGGTAGTTACTGCAAGGGACCCTCCATAATGGCCACTTTGTCGTTGTAAAACCACAACCACGGACAAACTCACGCGATAGCACGACAGGAGTCAGTCCACCCACACCATGCTCGTCCCACACGGTAGAGCCATCACGAGTAGTGATTGCACCGGTGCCACCCCTTGGCATCACTCCACCAGCGACAGGGGTTAGGGCATCCCCAATGATGCAAAGGTAAACGCACTAATTGCACCTGTGCCACCCCTTGGCAACACTCCACCAGCGACAGGGGTCAGTCCACCCACACCATGGTCATCCCACAGTTGAACCAAAGTGTTTGTTGTTGGATGAATACTCACATGAGTAGCAGCAAAATCATGATTCACAAAAAATAGCGTGGCCAATCGATGGTCAGATATCAAACTAGGAACGTAACGTTCGTATCGGTCGAGGTTTCGATATCGCTGCCGTCTGGAAACAATTCATCAGAGCTCGCCACCCCTCTTTCACGTCGCCCAGCAGTCGCATTTACATTCGTAGGATAGGAATCGGCGGATGATCCATATTCAACCAACAATGCATGGTCCATCACCGCGAGTCTTGGTAATCCACGGCTACGAAACGCCATGTCACCACCACGCAAAATCTCACCACAAGTCATAGATGCCGAAGCACGGACACGATGAGCGCGACGACGACCTGCATTCCAACACTGAGCTGACTGCGTCGTGAGGGCTGTGGCACATACGATGCCCACGGAAATCGAACTTCAGGGTCGTTTTCGGCCGCTTGCATTGCACTATTCTCAATCATGAAAGATCAAAAACTGGTAGGCTTCGCCCAGTTCTCGGCCTGGCAAATATTGGTGGCTATCTCATTTCAATGGTGGCAGGCCATTCTTCATGCCATACAGTAGTATTTAGCCTCGCTTCGATACAGTCGGAAGAATATGATACTTCGCATAAGTGTAGTATTTATATTATGCGACGTATCATATTCTTCCGACTGTATCGAAGTGAGGCTATGATACTTCGCATAATATAAATACTACAGTGTACTATAGTATTTATATTATGCGAAGTATCATATTCTTCCGACTGTATCGAAGTGAGCCGATGGTTATGACAGTGGTTTCTGACCTGCAGGTATAGTAGTGAATCGTACGTTGCATACAGGGTTCGAGTCCCGGGAGGATCTTTCTTTTTTCATGTATTGCAATACTACGTACAGGTAGTAGGTGTAGCGTTGGTTGTCTCATGTGTCCAGTTATTTTGTAAGCGTATGCACGCAAGTTGTGCACTCTTGGCGGTAGTTGTAAATTCTTGACGATAGTTGTACAGTAAATCCTTGACGATAGTTGTAAATCCTTGATGGGAGTTGTAAGTTAAATAAAGGCTGTTGTATTTTCTATTTATCTCCTAGATGTGGGGTGTTAGAAAATGGTGATGAAAATATCGTAACTGCAGACGAAACAGGCTCGCCCCTCAAAGTCACCGGAAAAAGAAAGAGAGAACCGGACAAGTTGGATTTGGCTCAGGGAAGCTGAAGACTGAATCCGGTAGCAAGAGAAGTTTCAGCGTCGGCGAGAGCTTGATGCAGGGGCTTATAGTTAAGGCCCAGGCTGAAGTTGAGGCTGATTTGTCCCGGGAGGTGCTGACGAGCCGCGCGACGGAATTGGAGCTCCGTAGGGAAAATGATGTTCGGCATTTTTTGCTGCGCAAGCGTGAAATTGACCTGAAAGCCAAAGAGCTTAGACACAAGCAAATCATTGAAGAGGCACGCCACAAGTCGTCCATGTCGTTTGATAACGCGGATGTGATGGAGTATATTCGTGATGAATTTCCAAAATTAAATAAAAACAATGAACTCTTGATTTACACTCGTATCTATCTACATATCACCAACCGATTCGCTCCAAAAGTGGCGAGCGTATATGTCACGCAGACTGGCAGGTTGCAAGAGCAATGCTGTTTTGGTGTACGTCATCCACGTCGGCAGTAGCATCATAGTCGTGCAACTCAGTGTCCCAATTACCATCAATGTCTTGCAACAATAAGTTAAAATGGCCGCAAACGAATCGTGAGCATCATTATTTTTGTCCCCGAGGGGTAGTGAAGTCAACTCGCATGCAGCGCAACGACTGGAAACGGCCTTTGAGTAGACCAATGCAATGCTCGTTGACGTAACGACACTTCGCAACCAGCTTGTTGAACAGCATATGCTGCTCGGTGAGCCCAGAGCTACGGGTGCGAGTGTACGCTGCCATAATGTGCTGCTGATTAGTGTAGCCACTATCCGACATCAAGTACTCATTGGGGTTGAAGTACTTGGTCGAGTTCATAGCGAGGTTGCAATTGTTCCACACACGCTTGTCGTTTGCACATCCAGTCCAGCCAAAGTCAAGGTACGTAATCCGCCGTTGGTCATCGCAGACAATCATGCCGGCCATTCCATAGTAACCCTTTCTGGAGTAGTAATCCTCGCTATCCTTGGACGGCTTGGCAAAAACAAGGAACAATGTTCCGTTGACAAATCCAACGCAGTTTTGGAAGCGGGAGTTAAGGTGTATGCGTCTACTGATTTGTGGTGGTCATCGTGATCTGGCCAGTACACAACACGCTTTTCAAGATACAATATCACCACTAATGCCACTTCTAAAGTCCTTCGTATGTCGTTGCGAAAAGCCAATGGGTACTTCAGAATCCATTTTGTAAGTTGTGCGAATGCAACTTCGATAGGGTTCAGTTGGGGACAATACAGTGGCAAAAAGAAAACCAAAGCACCACTCGCATGCACAGCCGCTTCCAACTCGCGGTACATGTGAATCTTGGCATTATCCAGGATCAAAATTGACCTGGGCAAGGGCCACGGATTGAGGTATGGGATGACCTGTTCGGACATCACTTGGTGGAAACGGTTGCGGTCGAAAGTCCCTACTGTATAGTCCCACGAGATGAAGCCAGTGCTATCAAATGCAGCCAGTATGGACACACGCTGGCCTCAAGCAAACGGTAGCGAAACAACTGCGGGTGTATTCCGCCTCGACCACGCGTACTTGCGCAGAGCGTCACGTCCGCCTTTAGAAGTTTCATCGACAAAGACCAACTGGCTTGGATGACTGTAGAACGGTTCCAGGCGGGAACGATACATTTGGACTTCGTGCGCGCTGCTTTCTTGCGCTTGCTTTTCAAGGACCTTGCGTGCCAAATGGAGATCAAACCGAAGTGCTCGACATATCGTTGACGTGCTGGTGTTTTGAAGCACAGAGAAATGAAACTTGAGTTCAGCTCCGAGCTCTTCTATGTAGAAGCACGGGTGTAAGGTTGTGTACTGTTTTACAAACTGTATGACGTCTGGGCTCCAGCGGGAGCTGCGCTTTTCTCTTCGTTCCAACGTGGCCAATGCGCTGAAACTGTTGGTTCCATCGTGTGATTGACCGAATTAACATGCCCAATACCGCGTGGATATCTTTGATATCGAGTCCATAGACACAGCGCAGAACGATGGATCTCCAGCGCATGTCTTTGCTATGTGTCATTTGAGAGTTCAAGGTCGGGATTACCAGGGAATTGTGCTCTTGGCTATGAATAGCAGATGAAAGAACGAATTGGCACCTTCTGAATGTGCAAAAGCGTGGGAGTTGTGTAAATCACTGGTGGGTTGCCTTTGTAATTCACATAATCTCTCAACGTAACAATCCGTTACAAGGTAAATCACGGTACCAAAAGACTGGTGTTACTGTAACAAAGACTCAGTTTTGTCGTGTGAATAGCCAAAACGAGTGAAAAGCACAATAATACTTGAAGTATTGTGCTTTTCAACATTTCTGCCAGTGGTTTTAGCAGCTTTAACGATTGAACGTTTTATATAAAGAAAGGTTGCACTTGCTCTAAAACGAAGCATATCGAGCGGTCTGTCATTGGGTGAAATAAAACGTCGTTGTCTTACGCAACACCACGAATCATCATAACAAAAATGTCGTTGGTGGTCAGTGACGTCGCGAGGCTGCCTCTGCCCGATGTGTTTCACTGCAGCGTATCAGTGAAGTTTGGCCGGGCACTAGGCAAGAGCAGGACGTCAGTGGGCGAGGCAGTCCTGTTTTCAATGCGACCAATTGATACGTTCAATATAATGACTGCGACAGTCCTTGACATCGTCGACAACATGGTTGCAACCCAACATTCCACTCCGAACCGCGACAAGCTTCAATGGGGACCGCACGTACCATTCGATGTGTATACAAAGGTTGCGATAAACGCCCCACAAAGCAAGTATGTTCGACTATCCGTGGACAACTTCAACGACACCATCGCAAGAATTTGGGACAACGCTGGCAAAACACGCCTTGGACAAGCTGCATTTGTTTTGCAGCTTTTCGTTTACATCGGTACCTGATTATAGATGAACGTTTGACCTTGTTCCTATACTGCTTGAATGATTGATTATTTATGTGGATAGAAAAACACGTCGAAATTGGCATTCGTCGTGCAACATAGCAGAACATACAATCGTCTGCGGTTCGTGTAGCTGAGCATGTTCGCCAGCATGACGTGAGCCTTGGATAATTACAAAGTCAATACGCAAGTATTTGCACGGCCCGACTCCCTACAAGCGCTCCCGTCGAAATACCGGCAAATGCTACGATGGAGCAGCTTGGCCACATCGACCAAATGACGCAGCACCACGTAGAGCAGCGCGAAAACGTCATCAGGGGGGAAGCTGAAGCTTACCGCTGCGTGCGCATTCGGATTGGATCGCTGGCCAGCGCGCCACTTGACTGTTTTTTTTGCGTCAGTGACCTCAGAAACATTCTCGGCCTACCACCGTACCCCTTGATGCCTGCATTTCGTGAGCCTCTAGTAGGTACACGTGCACCTCGTGTTAATATAGACGATGTTGACCATGCTAATGAGGAATATATGTAATCCTTAAACTACTTTGTTAATTTATCAATAAATAGAATAACGTAAAATTGTAGACGATGTTGACCATGCTAATGAGGAATATATGTAATCCTTAAACTACTTTGTTAATTTATCAATTAATAGAATAACGTAAAATTGTAGTTGTATTTCTAAAATCTACATCTCAGACATTTGAAAAGTGCCTTTGTCGAGGTCGTCCGTGTTGTACCCGCAATGTCGATAGAGGTTGTACCCAACGTCGTCGCGCTGATTAGTGCACTCAACAAAGGCAACGTCCAAGGTCGCACGAATATCAAAGCGAAACGCCATGGGGTATTTGTTGATCCAGCGTTTGAGAAGACTAAATCCGACTTCGATCGGATTTAGTTGTGGGGAGTATGGGGGCAAAAACAACAACAACGCTCCCGTTGATAGCACCGCGTCTTGGAGCTCCTTGTACATATGGATCTTAGCATTATCCAAGATCAGGATAGATCGAGGCAACGGCCACGGGTTTAAGTACGGAAGTATACGATCCGTCATAACCTTGTGAAAACGATCCCGATCGAACGTTCCTATCAATATATATATATATATATATATTCAATATCAGCTTACAACTGCCAATCTATGTTTTTACTGTATGCACTTTCGCTATTTTGCGATATTAATATACATTAATACCGTCAACATAGTCCCAGGAAAAAAAACCGCCAGTGGAAAATGCAGCTAATGCAGACACCCGCTGTCCTCGTGAAAAAGGCAGTGCGACAATGGCCTTCGTGTTCCGCTTCGACCAGGCGTACTTCCGCAAGGCATCACGGCCGTCTTTTGATGTCTCGTCGACAAACACCAACTGGTCTGGATTGGAATAAAATGGGCGGAGTCGACGGTAGTAGTCATGCAGCTCAAAATCTGCCGCTTCGTGAGCTCGCTTTTCAAGCACTATGAAGTAAACGTCATAACAATAACGAATACAGTATTTCATTCATATGTCACCTTTGCGAGTCAAGCCCAAATCGTGCATCAATGCGCGACAAATGGTAGCTTGGGAGACATTTCCAAGCGTGGGGAATTCCAACCTCAGCGCGTCTTGGAGCTCTTCGATATAGAAGCACGGATGACGTGCTGTGTACTGTAGGATCCATTCGTTCACTTGAACGGGCCAACGGTTCTTCTTCCTTGACTTGGGCATAGCATCGACGGTCCCCGTCTTCATGAACTGCGCAATGAACCGTGTGACGGACCGATGGGAGAGGCCATGTAAGACCACAACAGTGTTTACGTCAATTTAATACACCTGGACAAGGACAACACACCGCCATCGCATGTCCAAGCTGATCATCTCTGTTAAACACCGCGTTTGCCGAAGTATGATCGGCAAACACCCCTGTTAAGCAAACCTTGCTCGGAAAACCAGCCAAAAATTCCCTTGGCGACCAATCAATTTGAAGTAAACCCATACGATCCATAAAACCACCACTGATTAGTGCATGGAATTACTAAAAAGAGTGGTACGGTTGGTGCTTCGTTTTACTAAAACGAAGCTGGACTCAACCTAATACTACGTGGGTCCATGTTTAAAAAAGGGGTTTTAGTCCCAGAAGGTTTTAGTCCCAGAATAGCCAAAATTTGTGAAAAGCACAATACCGTATAGGTAACAATAACTACCCGGGCTTAATAACTACTTTTGGGCCTTCGCGGGCACAATAACTACCCTCAGCATCGCAGGCGGGCTAAATTTCACTACCCTGGGCAATATGGTTAACTTAATGAGTCCATGAGCAAGTTGCTTATCGTTAATGCCTCGGAAGAATTTTGGAATGCCTGACATTTGTGTACTTCCAAGTAAAAATAAAAATACGAAAAATGTCGCGAAATGGTGGACTTGAACTCGGGACTTTCAGGTCACGAATAGGGCGCTCTACCACTTGAGCTAGTAGTTATTAATATACCTCCCATTTGACAGTGAGCTACAGATGCCGAATTAAAAACCGTCACGCGACACCTGAAAAGAAGGGATATCCGGATGAAGAGGACCCGCGGTTCGGTTAAATAACCGGATCGTGAGAACACTGTAAACACAACCAACACCCCCCCCCAGTGAGCCCAATCAGCCGGATAACGCGAGAAGGCAATATTAAGTTAGGAATAATATCCGGTTAAAATTCTAATAAACCTCCATTGACAGTGTGACAATGAGCTTCCTTGTGAACTTCGTGGAAATCTTTCTTAGTATTTGACTTCTTGAATTTTGTATCGACATACAAAATATATTATTGAAAACCATACGGTGTATGGTATGGTGCCATATGTCCTCGCATATGTTTTCGGACATTAGAGCATTGTTATAGTATACTTTAATGAAGTTTAAATTAAGCCTAATATTTGTATACTATACGAACATCAAATATAATTTCGGGCCGAATAACTGCTTTGGGATTTTTTGGCGGGTCTTTCTCGAGCTACCCCGAGCGAAAAAAGGCAGGGTAGTTATTGTTACCTATACGGTAGTAACAGTCCAGCACATGGGATTGAACAGATGGCATTCTAAGTGGCCTGAGCAGATTCAGATTTGCAGTCAAATTGAAAAATGTGAATTTGACAGAAACGTCCAAAAATGAACCTCTTAACATTACTAGTAATAGACTAAGTGATGAAAATATATTTAATATCAAAGGTAATCCATCCCTTAAGAATGGAATCCCCAAATCGATGTGACGTTTGACTTTCAGAAGCATGAAATGAGAAGAGGCATCGACCAACATTTCAGATCTATTGGTACAGCTATCTAACGCCCCGTAATGTGTATGTCGTAGTGGACACATGACGGACTTGGGGCCAAAAACGACCACCCCCCGGTAAAATGAAAGCACGTGGGACGAGGTTGATCCCAACGGCCAGTGGTGACCAATATTTTATTCATATTTATTCGTGATGTTCGAGACAGCGAATTGCTTATTTGCCGTAATGACTTGTACGTCATACTTATTCACTCTATGCCCTGCAATGAATTATTTATTGCCCCATGCCCCCGCCCACATGAATAATTTACTTGAATTATTCAAACACAATATTAGTGCATCCCCACTCGTCAGACTTAAACGTTTGGCTTATAGGGATAACCCTTAGATAGGGCCGATTTTGGACTTATACTCCCACCCATTGGTTTTATCGGTGTCTCAATAAATCCAAACATAAGTTCAGCCCCGAAAATCCCTATCATAGGACCTTTTCGTCAAGATATCAATACCCTCCAGACCTATGCTATCCGGGAGAGTTCTATAATCTAAAATAATATACAAATGTACTGCTCAACATAGTCAACTACTTTACAGCATGCAATCTTTATAATAATTCCCATTTAATTTACTGATCTCAACCCTTAAATGAAACCGAGCAAATTATGCAATTCACACAGTATATAAATCTTACAGGTATATCTGGACCAACTACTTATATATGCATTCAAGCACTGGATGTCTCCAAGTCAGAGCTGAGTATGCCAGTGCGTCTCCAGCAGTTTCTCACAGTCGATTGCTCCATAGAGCGCCTGGCATCCTGATCCCAGCCCATCGCCTTAACCCTCTACGTCGCGTGGAAAAAGTCTTCACCCTCCGATATGGTTGGATAATATAAAGTTTCAAAAATTATAAAGTTTACCCCGTTTCGTTTAAGGGGGGAGATCAGTACACTGATGACCAACGAAGGCAGACCTTGCTGAAGGAGCGCCGTCATTCGAACGGCGAGGCGCTGCTCATCTGCTTCCTCGGTGGCGCGTTTTCCGCCGTCATCGACACAACGTTGTTCGTGGCGGGTGTGTACATCGTCATTGTAACAATTCACACACAACAGATATGGCGCTAGCACATGTACATCGTCGTTGTCAGAATAAAACTGGTCGCTTTCACACAAAACCAGTCGTCTTCACACAAAACTAGTCGTTAGCACAATAATGTCGACAACATGGGGCGCTGTCACAAACACGTAACGTTTAGTATACGTGGGATGTAGCACACTCGAGATTTACACGTACTGTAGCTTTCACATAGAAATATCGCACCCAATTTGGAATGTACCAAAACGACACAGCAAGACGTCACCCTAACAAGCGAGAAAACATCCTGCCGTGTCGTTGTGGTATGTACGTATGTGGTATATACTGTACGTATGCAATCTCTGTTGTGTCTGTGGGTGGCTGTTAGTGGCAGTCGGGTGGGCGCACAATTCGCTCGCATTGACTAACTCCAAAGTAGACCATCATGAACTGTAAGGGATTCAGTGGACGTACAGGGTATAGCGTCGCTGCATTGAAATGTGCTACCTGACAGTTTGGCAGTGCTTATGGGAATTATAGGCTATCGTGTCCACGTCGAAAAGCCTCTTGTCAAGTCCAACCACGTGAAAATTCCCAGGTGTCCATGCAAGGAAAATCTTCGACGAGTTGGTCGATAAATGTGCGCGCTTCCTTCATGGTCACCGTCGTCGATTAGGAGGAGTGTTATGCTTTTAATTCTTCTCATTGCTTCAGTATTGTGAATTCGCTATAAACTTGCAAAATTCGCGTGGTTTGTCGAATCAATATGGACATGTGAATCACGGTGGAGTTCTGCTTGGTTGAATATACTCGTCCTTCCTGTAAGTGCCAATGAAATCCAGGTTTAGCGATTCGGCAGCGAGATTCGACGGTCTGGAAATTTTACCGAATCCACAATATAACTTCGATAGAACTTCAATTATAACATCAAACACCCTCAATCGTATGTTACCGTTATTATAACTTTGGGAGCTGACTCTTGTTCGCCTAAGTACGTAATGCGTCTTGTCGCGTTCCCACTTCCATCCGTACTTTGACGAGACGAAGGGCCAACAGCAGAAATCCTCTCAGCCTTGCCGCGGACTATGACGACGATGGAGCTGAGCGAAGTGGACAAGCTTCTGGCAGAAGACAGTGATGGCGATGACATGATGGACGTGAACGAGCTGGAAGCCACTCTGACCTTGGAGGAGATCCTCAATGAAGACATGGAGCAGGCTGCATCGTTGCCACCGTCGACTGTTGCTGGGGCTGTCGCCGTCCCGATGGAAAATCCACTGCTGCATCGGACGTCGTCTCGCGCGCGGTTGTCGATCCAAAAACTCTCGGCGAGCGCATCTGCGATCGTTGCGTCCAAAGCCCCGCTCGACGTGGCCAAAGCGTTGGAAGAGCTGCTGCTGGAGCCTCCCCGAGAGATGCTCGTGAGTCCCCTTGCCGTGAAGCGGCGCATGCGATCGAACCAGCATTACTCGTCCGCGCAACAGCGAAAGAAAGACAAGGCGCATCATCAAGGTGCAAGCGCGGGCGTGGTCAAGGTGGAACCGATGCAAATCATCTCCAAGCAGCTAGTGAAGAACGCCGAGTTCCGCGACAACGGCCCCGGCAGTCCCACCGTGGTGGCGATTCATCCCAAGTTCATCGCCATCGGCACGAGCAAGAGTCTCGTGCTCGTGTTCGACCATTTTCAGAACATCCGCCACGTCCTTCGCAACACCGCATCCTTCCACGAAGGCAGCAGCGAGCCGTACAGTGGTACCGCGGCCTATCCCCGCCTCCTTCTCCTCATGGAAATGAATGGTTTTAGATGGCCCCGTGACCGCCATCGACGTGTCGCCAGGCAGCGACTTCTTGGTCTGCGGGTACCACAGCGGGCGGATCGTGCTGTGGGACATGCTCAAGGGCACGGCGCTCAAGGTCGTGTCGGACGCACACGAGTGTCCGGTGGTGTCGCTTCTGTTTCTCAAAGATCAAAAGCCATGCATCTTGTCTGTCGATGCCAAGTACGTACAGTAGCACACCCTATGTCGGCGTCGAGTGTGCTTTGAGTATAGTTGGGGTTGTGTATGAACTGACTGTGTTGATATTGAACATTCTACCTACTACTACTCTATCGATCGAATATTTTGTGGGTCGTAAAATACTCGGACTTTTCCTCGACTACAGTATATTTGAGAGTCTGGTATTGTCAAATCCTTCAACGCGTGTATGTTTTAAAATATTATTTTTAAAATAATATTTATATTGACAAGGATTGGTAAGATTTTGCGCGTATTGTCGAAATTAAAAAGAAAGGCCGTTATTTTATTTTTTCAATTCAAAACGAAAAACAGATTAAAAAGTCATTCATTATATATATATATATATATATATTTGAACGTAGAATCAAATGCAGGAGGCAACTGTACTTTAGAATGTCCTAGCCAATCACCAATGATAGTACACTATGGAGAAATGTTGGAACCAATCATCGACCATATTGTGTTTGGAACTAGATCTTGAAATGTGTTATCTATATATCATCATACAATGAATAAGCTTCAAAATCTGACACAAAATCGATTCTCGAATCAGTTGGCAAGCCCAACTTTCAGCGAAACGACCGTAGTGGGCTTGAATGTTTTGTATACGAAGATTTCGAGGATGCACCCTAATCTGTATTCTTCAGTGTCTTTTTTGCTCTACATTACATGTTGTATCCTCCTTTGAACTTTGTATGCCACGGTAATTGTATGTATAAATGCTGCCAAACTACTTTTTTTTTGTACTGATTTTTGTATATGAACAAGTGTCCAAGGTGTGCAGCGGCGATACCCGCCCCACGAATTGAAGTCAGACGCTAATTAGCAGTTGATTGAATCGATGATTTATTTCGTGCAATCTGATTGGTTCAATTCTTCTGCCAATGTGGTTGTATGTCGTCGGTACATACATTCCTTCGGCAGCACCACCGCGTCGCTCCCGAGTGGAATTTTTTTTTTAAAGTATATGTCCCATTTTGTATATAATTTATTTATATCATTTATGAAATCGATTGAATTGATTTTTTGTGTTTAAAATACACACGAAACCATCACAATATATATATACGATAAAAGTAGATACCCTGAATGTTGTTCGTTGCTTTGTATAGTGGGATTGCAAACAAGGTCAACTTTAGCAAAATGATGGGGTACGTGTACGTGGTGGACGTGGACCCGATCTACGACGGGTCGGCCGGCAAGATCCTTAGCGTGGCCATCCTCGCGCAGAGTGCTGGGCACATGAAGATCGCGCACATCACGGAAGTGTACAGCATCGCCGCGATTTCCACAGACAAAGTAACGTTTTTGGTCGCGATTGAGCCCGAAGTCAAGGTGTTGCATCGATGGTTCAAGCCAGGTTGGTATTGAACGGTTGTACTGGGTACTTGGTAGAGCGAATTTTAGCCAATCAGATGAAAGCGTTGGCTTTTCGATTGGTAATTGAAAATGGTGTCATTTCCATATCTATTTTATTATTTTTTATCGATACCTGAACACGGCATTTAATGTTGTCGTATATTGTGCTGTTTCGAAGTGAAATTTCATTGTGTTGTGGTTTCTCGTTGGAATTTAAATCGATTTGATTGGCTACTTCAGATGAGCTCAAAATTATTAGCCAATCAAAATCTTCTCAATGAAATTCAACAACCAATCAGATCGATTGTGGATCGGTTTCGTCGATTCGATTATTGTACCCCGTCCCCAAATTTGTATCAAATCGACAATATCTGTAATATATAATGTCCTGAAAATAATTAGATTAGAATCAAATAAATGTGTATTCCCGTGGGATATTGTGGTTACGAGAACACCCCAAAATGGACAGACGAATCGACCGCGCAGAAAACAATCATCCGTTCAACCCATATTAGTGTATGACTTGAATTAGTGTACTTGGCATCAAAAAATTGCAGTACAAAGATCGATACTTTGAGGAGATGACCAGTCGAGGTCAAATTTCGTGTGTTGCACACATTTGATGTTTCAACGATGACGTGTGCTTCTGCCGTGTACTCAACGTGGGGTACTACTGTGGCTACATAGTAGTTAGTAGCCACAGTAGTAGCCATAGTAGTCGATCTAGAAGATCTTTGCCCCTTGTCCAAATGTGTGCTAGTCTTGTACGGGTTTGCTATGAATATATATATATATATATCAATAGTCCAAATGTGTGCTAGTCTTGTACGGGTTTGCTATGAATATATATATATATCAATTGTACAGCCCTCCTCCCTCCCTCCACGTCTACATTACATGGATGCTGCTTTTGTGTTGGCTGTATACCTCGTTCATACTCGATAGAAGGTTGGTTCTACGTATCTCACGCCATAGACAACGATTGTAGAAGGCGTGACGGTGGACAACTTGCCATCGCTTGGGTTTGCATGGGTCGCGCTCCCCGGCAGCTCCCGCCACGACCCTCCCACGCCGATCCTTGCGCGCGGATGGGGCCGGCACATCCAGTTCCTTGAAGTGCTGTTTTGTCCGCGCCATGTGCATGCCAAGGATGGATGGCCGACGTTTGCCGAGACGTCGCCGGTGGACACGACCGCGGACGTGGTCGCTACCCAATGGCTCGGGGATCACGTCATCATGTACCTCAACTTCCACGACGAGCTGTGTGTGTACGACACGATGAGTCGCCAGGAGCTGGAAACTATCGACGTGAGCAGCATGGGTCTTGTGTATGCTTCATATCGTGGGAACAATGGCCGCAGTTTTGCCAACAGGTAGACTCTCTCGATATATATATATATGTCTTTGGCTACAACCACAACAATAATGTGGGGATATGTTGTTATATGATTGATTCAAATGTTGAATCAAATATATAAATAAATTGAGCACTGTATTATGTGCTATTATTGGTTCAATTGTTGGATAAAAAAACGTTTACGACTGAGGTGTATTATTATTTACCGTAGCAAATTTGAACCAATTTGATTGGAAAGAGTAGATTTGACAGAGTCGATTGAAACATTATATAGTGGTTGTACTTATTATCGTTTTAGTATATATAGAGTAGTTAATGCACTCATCCACGACACTGATGGTAGTAGATGGTTTCGTATATATAGAGAAACAAGACATGTATCGAGTATTGTCGATTTGATATACAAATTTGGGGAGGGGGTGCAATCAAATCGCGCCGACCAAACCGATCAACAATCGATCTGATTGGTTGAATTTCATTTAGAAGGTTTGGATTGGTTAATAATTTTGAGCTCATCTGAAGTAGCCAATCAAATCAATTTAAATTCCAACGAGAAACCACGCCACAACACGAAATTTCACTCGAAAGCACAATATATATATATATATATATATATATATATATTATTAAACAGTGTGTGCGTGCGTTCTATGATTGGACATATCCAAGTATTCGGTTTGACTATTCCCAGTGATATGTCTCGGTTGATCGTTCATTTAACACAACACATGGGTATGGATTGCTTGCCACATGTATATATATAATATGTTTGGCTATATCGTTGTGTTGTTGGCTATATATAGATCTATCTATATATATATATCGATTTTGTTCCCTTGAGTCTATCTACTCCGAATTCATGTTGAAACCACTGTGATGATACTGTATGGCATCAAACCCACACACATCATCTCACACGACGCCTCGCCATTTGATCATTCATTGCATATATACAAAGTTGCCACCCCTAAAGAACGATGACGATGTATGTATGTGTGACAATGTGTGCATATGCGACGTAGTTTTCGAGCCTGTAACGACATGTTGTACTTGCTCGGGTTGAAAGAACTGCACACGGCGCGCGTACAGCCATGGACGCAGCGCATCGACACGCTGATTGAGGACGGCGAGTGGCTCGAAGGGTTGGGGCTCGCCCTGGACCATTACGAAGGGCTGCTTAAAGCCGCGCAGACCCGCGCCGAACGCGATCGGTTTCCCCCAGTGTTCTTTACTGACCGCAACAAGGATCAATGTGTGGTGGATATCTTCAAAATGTCTCAGACCAACCAGCGCACTGGCGACAAGGAAGATGTGTTTCGACACGAAGACCATGCCAACGAAGACCCTCGATGGTACGTACGACCATATTTTGGCATACATATATATATATATATATATATCCCTGTACTCTTATACATTTCCCTGCAAGTTTCCCTATATCCCCCTTTATACATTTCCCTGCTTGTTTCCCTACACTGTTTTACATGTCCCCTGCATCGCCCTACAATTCCCCCTGAATGGGAAATGACGGGGGGTGATGCAGGGAGGTCATGGAGGGAATATATATATGTCTTCCAGTAGCGTTAGCCCTCGACGGTATATATATTCTCCAAGTAGTTCCAGGTCGAATCTCGACTTTGCCAACGAGGCAGGACGCCACAGGGGGGCTTACCGTGTCCATCATACACATGTACAAAGGGCTACGATGGTGATATATGGACATGAAAGGGGGGGGGGGTAGATCTTTATGGAAGGATATTTGTGTGTGTTTGTTGCGATATAAACATTGATTTCCGTGTCTTGACCTGTGTATTGGGTAGGTGTGTGGGCGAATCGACATACCCCGCAGACGTATCCAAGCGATTGGAAGCCGCGTTCCAAACGGCGCGGTCAGGTGCCCCGCCCAAGAACTTTGTGCCGATCGGTGTCGCAGATCGCATGGCGGACCTGCTCATGGACTACGTCCGCCTCGCGATGGGTCACGCGCCGTCGGCGTCGCTCAACTTGTCGCATTTTCAAATGCTGGCGGGGGTCGCGATCGAGTATTGCGCGTCGACTAACCGGACGGACCTGCTGTTTGCCGAGATCTTCAAGCGGTTCCAAGAAGCTGATAAGGCTGACATTTTTGTCAGTTTACTGGCGCCGTACATTTTGCACGACCAGCTGCACGTGCTCAGTGCCGACGTCTTGGATGTATTTGTATCGCATTGCTTGGCCACCAACCAAATGGACACGGTATGTGTCCATGATTGTATGACCTACCTACTGTACCTCCACGCAGTCGTGGCTTGTTTGTATGAGCGTTTTGATGGATTGTATATATATATATA